TCGACAAGGGTCCATTTTGCCTGTCCACTGCCTTTGAGTGTGAAATCTTTGCTGATATATTGGTGTCATTTCACGAATCAACAGCTATAAAAGCGGTAACACTGGTAACACGAGTAATGCTGGTAATGTATGGTCAAAGCTAAGAATAGGGCTACCTGATAATAGTAAGTCTAGCCATGGGTGGAGCGTAACGAAGCGCTCTAAAGAAGGTGTTCTGATCAGAAACTGGTTGACCGTTCACTTTGATAATCTGATCACCAGTCTGCAAACAATTGATGCAAACGGTCGATGTGTAGCGCAAAAGCATGGACTTACCCTAAGTTTGCCGTCAGCAATAGTTCCACCTTGTACTTTGGTAATGACAAGCTTATCGTTGGGCGTTGCTCCCAGAGGCTCTCCCCCTTCCATCGGGATCTCTACATCCATAGCTGGAGCTCCGCCTTTGCTCTCGAATCGTGACATAAGCTTGAGTCTTGCTTTGTAGACGAGGTACTCCCATCGTTAGTTAGCAGACTTGCTCGACGATGTTGAATCACCCTAAGAAGATTGAAATCATGTCACATTTCTAAAACTAAAGTCTTTAATAAACATGTGGCCGTGTGCATGCCTTTATTAACAAATTCCATTCATATCTTGCAATCGATTGGCGTTGAAGAGGAACAGAAAGAAGCGGAAGACCTTAAACAATCAGCTTAAATCTTCTACAGAATTATCTTCAACATTGTTGTACTCTTAACCACTAAATTATGGACTTATTGTCAATGGACAATTCCCAGAATTCTCTGAAACAGTTTTCGAATTTGAGTCATTCGAGTATCGCATAAAATCTTCTGGAACAGTCTCGGAGTTTGAAAAATTATGAAAATATAACTTTCAAGCCCTTTTTATAGCCTACAGTGCTTTGCTTGTGATTGACTTGGTGAAGGATCTAATTTGGTAGAAATTTTACAATGAATAGCAAGTAGTTCACCTTGTCTCCAGACCCCACCCGCATTCTGAAAGTCTGTTTGGGTCGTAGTGTTTAGGTAAAGCCAGGCTAGGAATCCGTAATTTTGCTTTGTATGTTGCCCCATAAGTTTTTTCATATTGTGTTCTTTACCGTCATGAGCCATTTCTTTGTAAATTTCTCATCGCAGTCGGGGTATCATTCGATAGAGCAAAGCAATCTCTACGAGATGACTTTCAAACATCCACCAAGTGTGATCCACCCAAAGTTTCAATTCGAAATCTAAAAAGTGCCTGAAAAATTGAAATCAAATTTTCGTCAAAAGGATCCGCACGAACTTCCAAATTATTCTAGCATATAACTACCACAAGACATTCATACATACACTTGTTGTGATTTTTCCGTTGCTAGAAATCGACTGAATAAAAAATGGCACTTTTTCTCAAAAGCTATGCTGGGCTGTTCCTACATAGACAGATCTATAATGAACCATTGTGAGTACCACTATAAATTTTAGCCTTCTAGCTTTACTTCTCGAGAGATTAGAATTTAGCATAAAGCCCTGAACGACATTTCTGGGTCATTTGTGATTTTGGAATATTTTGTTTTTCCATTTCTAGCCATGGAAAAATTCAGCAAATGTAAACATAAATATTTCAAATGGGGACTATGTAGAAAATTAGAGGTCTGCAGAACTTTTCTGGACTGAGACCGGGTTTTTCGGCCATTTGAAAATTCTTGGATTTCGGCTTCAAAATTCACGTTCATCAAAACTTTTGCAATCTTTCGAATGTCATCTTGTAGAGCTTGCGT